GACGGAGAGATAGAGAGCACAAGCAGGGGGAGGGGCAGACAGAGGGAGGAGAAGCAGGCTCCCCAAGGAGCAGGGAACCCTATGCGGGACTTGATCCCAGGACCCTGGGATGATGACCCGAGCCGAAGGCAATCCCCCAACTGACTGAACCACTCAGGCACCCCAATAATGCTTAGTCTTACTAATACTAAAACACAAAAACGATCTTATTTTCTGAGCTTCAGTTTATCCATCTAAGTGGTAATGATGATTGTGTCTTCATGTGAGTGCATTGTAATGTTTATAAGTTCTTAAATCTGGTAACATGGTTTTGAGACTCTTAGGAGTAGCCTATACATGTTAACTGTTACAGGAAAAAGTTAAGTTTGATTACTTTGCTTTTGTTGACAAAAATTAGCCTGTTGAGGATACATACTTGTTGAAGTTCATGAATATGTAGTTCACATTTTGTCTGGTTGTCAGCATTTACCTTTGGAAATGATAGTGTAATTAGATGTTCTGCCATGTGGCTGAGGCATCATTTCTCTGGAACAAACATATATCTGTAGAATACCTTTTAGGGTGCAGGTGATGGGATGGCAGAGTGACAGGATGAGGTCTGTGCTCTCAAGTAGCTTACAACTAGTGAAATCAGACGTGGTACAGTATGACAAGTGCTGTAGCAGTGATGTGAATGATGCTGAGAAAGGAGTGATCGATTCTGCCTGGGAATCCCCATTTTTCAGATCCATACTATAGAAAGAATTTGGACATTTAGGTTAGGAGTAGTTTCATTGCCTGAGAGGCTATTTGTCTAAAGACTTTTTAATAAGAAAGGATCAGGCTGTTTTATATGAAACAGAAAGGGTTACTTGGATTGTGGTTCTAATTTTATTTTGAGTAGGTTTTCTTCTAAGGTTGCTTTAAATTTTAGTAATATTTTATTATTACTTTTTAAAGCTGGGTTTTTTTGTTTGTTTGTTTGTTTGTTTTTTAAAGATTTTATTTATTTGTTTGGCAGAGAGAGAGAGAGAGAGAGACAGCGAGAGCAGGAACACAAGCAGGGGGAGTGGGGGAGGGAGAAGCAGGCTTCCTGCTGAGCAGGGAGTCCAGTGTGGGGCTTCATTCCAGGACCCTAGGATCATGACCCGAGCTGAAGGCAGACACCTAACGACTGAGCCACCTGGGTGCCCCTTAGTAATATTTTAAATTATAAAAGTAATATATGCTTATAAAATATCAAACTGGTCAAAAGTATATCAAATAAAAATGAAAGTATCTCTTCTTTCCCTGGGTAATTCTCATTAGTTTAAACAATTACTTGTAAATAACCTTGGGTTTTAAGCACCTCATATTCTGAGCATTTATTCTGTCTGTTCAAAGAGGAAAAATACATTTCCCTTTTTAGGGAAGTACCTCGGAGCAATGGAGGTTGTCTGGGGCCTGTGAAGTAGAAGGGAACTGTAGTGGATTTCGGGAAGTACATTGATCAGTTAGATTGCTGTGTCCTGTAGGGCTTTTTAAGGATTTATTGACACACTTCATCAAGGTATTTGAGGGAGTATTCAGGGAAACCTAAGAAGTTCTGCAGTTCTTTTCCCTTTCTTATAAATTCATGCCTGGTCAGAAATTACAGCTTGAGTGGGATGTCCCTCCACAGAACTCAAATGCACACTATCTATCATGTTACTTAGTGTGGCAGTAATGTAAAATGGTAAGGATTTTTTTTTTCTTTTTGCTTCTTTCTGTGAGAGGGCTCACCCAACATATTTTATCATATGTTTCTTCATCTCTCCCTTATTTCAACTTCCACTTACTCCTGCAATTCCCCACATCATTCTCTTAAGAGAAAAAAATAAGTTTTGTCCACCGAGTCCTCTTTCTTACTTGATTTAATATGTCTTGGGTTGAATGTTTCTCACAAAAACACTTTGCATTCAGAATTAGCCTATCAAACCGTTTCCTCCACGGACTCCCCTGTAGACTGCATGCCTTTCACTGTGGTGCCCCCTGAGGTATGGAAACCCAAGGCTGCTTTTGGCTTAGCCATCGTGATTTTAGAATATCAGTCCCCATGCTCTGCTTTGAAAAGTTTTCCTGGTGGTTATATTGTACCATTCAAAAAATTCTGCTTTCAGTCCGCGGAACCAACCAACCAACACACGGAGCCAGAACTCTTTATCCTGTTCCAGTAAAACCACAGTCCTCATAATAACACATTCACTTATCCAAATCTGGGAGTCCACAGGAGCACACCCATATATGTGTATGCGTACACAGATGTATACAGATGCTTGCTGGACACACATTGGGGATGATAGCAACTCATCCATATGGTTGGTGTTCAGGAATTTGTAACCTGCAGTGCTCTTTCTTACTGGTAACACCATTCTGCTTGGGGAATATAGAACAAGCCCAAACAGTAATACTGACAGAATTCGGAATTATGATACAGTGGAGCCTTCACGTAATTCTTTGTTGAAGAAGTTAGGGCCTAAATGTTAAGGCTTATTGTTATTCTGAGTTGATAATCTCTGCCTTGCTTTAATAATTTTTCCTCATGCCTGGGTAGCCCGCGAGTTGCACAATAATCACTCACACAGCTTTGTAATCAATGCCCAAAGTAATAGGATTCCTCTGGCCACCGGCAATTAATAAATTTGTGTCTTTTTTAAAACACTAGCAAGTCGGGCCTGAAATACGACTGACTGGCTCTCCTCATTTGCATATTTATTGCAGTGGAAAAATTCTTACCAGATGATTGATGCTGAGCCTGCCTCTTGAATTCCAAGCAGCACATTATTATGAAATGAAAAATGCCGGCCATACAGTTGATTAAAGTTGAAGACAGTGGAATCGGTGTTTTTTAAGATTGTGGGAGAATTAAAGGCATATTTTAATAGATGTTGACAAGAAGTGAACTAACAAAAGCAAAGCAAAGGATTTGCTTGAAAAGATTTAATCAAACGTCTTTCTTGGGGGATTAATTGCCGGGGATGACTAGTGCAAGTGGCAAGCTTGTGTGGATTTGAATGAAAAGTATTGTTCTCGGGCCGATATATTGTGTGTCATTTTGACCTAGAGTTTAGCTCTGGTTCTAGAGTTACTTTGAAGGAGAAAAAACTGCTCTTGTAATCTATACATTCTACTTCATTGTATTTATCTGGCATGATAGGAATGTGGGAATTTATGTATACTTGTACATAAACTATTGTATGTTTTCATGTTTATTTTAAAAATAACTGTATAGATATTTAAAAACTGATAAGGTAAGCTTTATTTTAGTTATAAATTCACTGTCTGCGTTCCCCCTCCAATCCCCTTGCCAGAAGTCATACTTATTGGTTTATAATCTAATTAATGAACTGTGCCTATGTCCAAACTTATTCTCTGCCTACAGTTTTGTTTATGTTGAACAGCCAAGATGAATCAGGGAGAAAAATAAAGCTGTTAGGTGAAAATTGTTTTTAGATTGGTGACATTTTATATATAGAATGCTTGCATATGGGTAGCATGTAAATGAATACTTAATACAGGAATCTATGAATACTAGTTCTGTCCTAGCACTGTCGATCAGTACAAGCAGAGCCTGGGATTTTCACCATGTGAAAGATGATGATTTTTTTGATTGTGATGTACTTTCTATATCCCACAGCATTTAAAAATTAATGAAGTTCCTTAATATATAAAAAACATGTTTATTATTTTTCACCTAAATTCTGTGAGATAAGCAAAGGATTATCTACATTTTACAGAGGAGAAAATTGCAACTCAAAGATTAAATTGGTCTGCTCAGTAAAATGACTGGTTAGTAATAGTGTCAGTTAGAATACAGGGCTCCTGACCTCTAGTAAAGCACTCTTCCCATTGATTCTCTACTTGGAAAATTATTCCTAAAGCCAGTGCCCAGATGCTGAGGTTGTATCTTGATAATATGGTGAGGCATATGTCCTTCTTAATCTCCTCTTAAGGGAAAGGCCTCTGGAAATGGACCATGTAGGACAAAATAAACATATATATCCTTGACAGTCTCCATTTGTTTTGTGGCCACATGCCAAGAGGGAGAGAGAAGAAAGTGTATGCCTCTCTGCTGTTTTTTCAACTTGTAACTGACAGTAATTAGGAGAAAAATGAATGGTGAATTAGAAACTGTTGGTTCCATTCTCTTCATTTTTCATAGGGTTAAACAAATAGAATTCAGTCCTATATGAATGATAAAAAAGAAGTTGGGTTTGGTTTGGTTTTGTATTTTGGCTGGGAAGAATCCGCTTGGATCTGAGTCTCCAGGAGTCTTTCCTCACTCTTGTCAGATGTGGCTTTGAGGAGGCCTGCTGTATCCAGGAAAGCATTGTCTGGTCTCTGCAGATTTTACATAAAATCTTAGTGGAAGGAAATGTGGCCCTTTTCTCAAAGAAATGAGAATTGCGTTCTTTCTTCTGTATCTCTTTATAGGAAGCTGTCTGTGTGTTGGTCATTGGTGACTTTACTTTGATAAACATTTTTTTTTCTTTTTCTTTCCTTTTTTTTTTTTCCTTTTTGTGGTTAGAAGCACAGAATTGCAGATTTCATCTCTGGTAGGTCTCTTGACACTTTGATGCATGGTGGTGCTATCCCTGAATGGAGCTTAAATACTTCAGGGCTACTCTCTGACTGGGTGAAGGGGTGTATAAAATGAGAACATATGAGAGAGTATTAACAGAAAGGCACACTTTGATTTACTGATATTGGCTCTCTGCTTTCTTGTTGGATTGATATGCTGTCTAATATATCTGCAATGGATTTTTTTAAACTGACTTGAACAAAATAAAAGGCTTGTATAGCTACTTGAAAGTGGCCCTTAAAAGTAGTAGTCTTTTCGTTGTATGTTTTCACAGTTCTTGGTTCTGCCACATGTGAGAGTCACATTATGACTTGCTTGCTGGGAATAAGCAGCTGTGAACATTATAGATTGCTTTGCAAACTGCGCCCCCCCCCCACCCCCCGCACATGGTTCCTGATTTCCTGGTTTATATCATGGATACATGGAATCTACCGGAAGTAAGGGACAGGTATCTGCTTTTCTTCTTTTAAATTTTTTATTGCGGCAAAAAAAACATGAAACCTAAAATTGACCTAACATAAAATTTATCTTAACCGTTTTTTCCATTTTCAAATTTATTTTGAATTTTCATCCTATGTAGTTAACATACAGTGTTATATTAGTTTCAGATGTATAATAGGGATTCAAAAATTTACCCTATTTCTAAGTGTATAGTTCAGTAGTGTTAAGTATATTCACACTGTTGTGTTACCAATCTCCAGAACTATTCTGTCTTGTAAGAGTAGAACTCTATACCTGTTAAACAAGCCTCCATTCCCCTCTCTGCCAAGCCCTGGTAACCCCCATCCTACTTTCTGTCTCTGAATTTGACTACTCGAGGTACCTCCTATAAGTGGAATGATATAGTACCTGTCTTTTTATGGCTAGCTTATTGCACTGAGCATAATGTCTCCAAGGTTCATCCATGTGTTATAGCCTGTGTCAGAATTTCTTTTTAAAGGGTGAATAACATTCCTTTTTTTTTTTTTCTGTTTTTTTTTTACTAGGCTCAAGATTGAAGCATTATAGATGATTTTTTTCTGTTCAGAGATGAGCTGGGATGGTAGAATTATTCATTATGGCCTGCTTTGGGAACACTTAAAGTGTGTTTTTTTTTTTTCAATTGTGTTAAAATATACATGACATAAAATTGACCAGCTTAGCCACTTATGGAAATATAGTTCAGTATTGTTAAGCACATTTGCATGGCTGTCCCAATATCCTCACTGACCATCTCCAGAACGTTTTCATCATCTCATTCTGAAGCTCTGTATCCATTGAACAGGAACAGGTGTCCATTCCCCTCTCCTATCCACCCCTGCCTGCCATCGTTCTGCCTTCTGCTTCTGTGAATGTGCCTGTTCTAAGTGGAATCACACGATACTTGTGCTTTTGTGACTCGCTTACTTAGCGTAAGATTTTCAAGGTTAGGTCTTGGGAATTTTGAAAACTACTTTGCAAATGCAAAATTGGTTTGTGGTTTCACTTTGGAAAACATGGGCTATCTCTCTTAAGATACAACCTTTTCTAGAAAAGGCACTAAAAACCGTGGTTAACGCTAACTGAAGTTTGTGTGGGCTGAAGTCCCTATGGAATATAAAGTAAAAATGAATGTAGGGTTTGCTAAATGAAAGTAGGGGCGTTTGTGAGAAGGTTACAGTTATTTAAGGGAAAGGGGGAAGGTGTGAGAGAAGCATGGCCAGAGATGAATGGACAGTCATTACTGATAATAAGAATGGAAAATCACCCGATTTAGCAATGGATTAAATATATAGAGTAAGGGCACCGAAATGTCAGTGATCGCCTATGAAAACACATTAAATGGAGAAAATCAGACAAGGGAGAAATATTAGGTAGGAAGAACAAAGTTCTGTTTCTGACATGGTGTATTTGGAGGAGTGATGGAGCATCCATGTGAAGATTTTCTTGCAGTTGCTGGAAATGTGGAAGCTCGATAATAGGAGAGGCGTCTGAGTGCTACCAAGGCATAAATAGTGATTATCGGTGTCTAGTTAGCCCCTTTAGCAGGATTAGGCTGATAAAGAAGGTAAGAGTTCAGTTCTCAGAGGGCCAGTTTTTATCCTGAAAGTTCTTAGCCGTAGTAGACTATACTTAATCCTGACCAGCTTGATGACAAATGCATCCTGTTGGCTCTGTAGAGAACCAGGTAAGAACATATTCTCGATGCGCAGAGTTTTAATACACAATTCAGTACCACAAACAGTAAGTCGTTAACTTGGGGGTTTTCATACGTGAACAACAACTTTTTTCATAGGAGAATGTGTAGAGAAATTATATGTATGAGGTGGCAGCTCAAACCAGAGGCAAATGAGATCTCCTGAGGAAGGGCGATGACAGCAGCAGTGACGACACAGTAGGGATCCCAGGACAGACCTGTGCTCTTCAGGAGAGGAGGGATTGCTTAAGGAGTTGATTGATAGAGGGATAATCCAGGAGGTCGGTGGGTTACCTGTAGAAGCTAACACCATAAGGAAAAATGATTGGTTATGATGACAGGCCGGGTAGAACTTGGTCAATCTTGCTAAATTTAAGAACTCACAATTTATTGCAGACCCTTTCCTACACACTTTACATATGTTACCTCACTTGTTCCTCACAACAAACCTGTGAAGTGGGCACTGGCATTATTTCCTTTCAGGAATTCTGTGTTTCAGAGAGTTCTTAGGCCCCGGGTGCCCTTTGCCTACCCCCTACCCCGGCCAGAACTGCCCAGGAGTCATGAGTTACAGTCATTGCCTGCTTTGAAGAATTGTAGATAATTTATTTTTCCTTCTCTGTGCTTCATTTCCCAGGTCACAAGGCCCTTAAAGCATTGTTGAGGTCATTGGCAGATCTTCAGGAAGAGTTACTTTTCCAGTACCCAGACACTAGATATTTAGTAGACGGGACAAAGCCCAAAGCAGAAAGGTAAGGAAGGAATGGAGCTGTGGGGTTGCTTATTTTAATCTGAGTAGTTTCCCATCATTTTTGAAAAAGAAAGCCAAATCTTCTGCAGGCAGATATCATACTTATTGTTAGTAATAACAGAAAGACCTTCTTATATTTACTTGGTGGTCAGGATGGCACACAAGTTAAGAATTAGGTTTTCCTTTTTTATATTTACTTGTGCCTGCTTTTCTTTGTGGGCTTCTGCAAAAGGCATGCCTTTTCTTTAGACCTATTGAAATTAGGAGATAAGGGTGCCTGGTTGGTACAGTTGGTTGAGTGTCCAACTCCTGGCTTTGGCTCATGTTGTGATCTCAGGGTGGTGAGATCAAGTTCTGTGTCAGGCTTTGCACTAAGCATGGAGTTGGCTTGAGACTCTCTATCTTCCCCTCCCTCTGCCCTTCCCCATCTCAAATAAATAAGTCTTTAAAAGAAAAAAGAAATTAGGAGATGAAAGCTCATTTTTAATTTTAATTCTTTTTAAAAAAATAATGATTTTATTTATTTATTTGACAGAGAGAGACACGGTGAGAGAAGGAACACAAGCAGGGGGAGTGGGAGAGGGAGATGCAGGCCTCCCGCCGAGCTGGGAGCCTGACGCAAGGCTCAATCCCAGGATCCTGGGATCATGACCTGAGCAGAAGGCAGGTGCCCAACACCTGAGCCACCCAGGCACCTTTTAATTTCTTTTTTTAAAAGATTTTGTTTGAGAGCAAGCGAGCAAATGTGTGTATGAGTAGGGGGTGTGCAAAAGGAGAGGGAGAAGCAGGCTCCTCACTGAGCAGGCAACCAGATGTGGTACTCCACCCAGGACCCTGAGATCATGACCTGAGCTGAAAGCAGGCACTTAACTGACTAAGCCACCCAGGCGTCCCTTAATTTTAATTTTTTTTTTAAGATTGTGTTTATTTGTCGGTAGGGGGAGGAGAGAGAGACAGCACAGGCAGAGGGAGAAGTAGGCACCCTGCTGAGCAAGGGGGTCAATGCGGGGCTGGATCCTCAGACCCTGGGGTCATGACTTGAGCCAAGGGCAGCAGCTTAACTGACTGAGCCACCCAGGCATCCTTTAATTTTAATTCTTAATTAATGTTTATGCAGTAGTTTGTGCCAATACCATGGAATTGCTGGTCACAGCCATCTCCTTTTCAGTGAGGGAAGAAGCAGTTATTTTGAAGGATGGAAAATTTTCAGAAAGGCATGGAATATATATAAACGTGTTTACTTTTTCTGAAGTTGTCACATTTGATAAAGGATTTCCACAGCACCACCCCCCACCCACCCACCTGTTTGAGCCTGCTGTATATGGTACCTGCTTGCTTTTTTCCCTTTGGGCTTATCCTTTGCTCCATTCATTTTTAGTTGGAGGGACAACAGTAAGCTCAAATTTATTGAGCACCTATAATGTGTTGGGGTCAGTAGTCCAGTGAGTCTAAGTGGCTTGCATGATAGAGGCTGTATTACTTGATCCGGGCAGTTGCCTTTATTTCAGCGTAGTTCCCGTTCTCTTGCCCACTGCTTTGAGTTTCCTTCACATTCAGCTCTTTTCCTTTGATTCAACTAATATTATTCTGCTTTCCTGAACAATTGGTTACAGGGAGACACATTTCCTTTATTGATTTGGGGATTAAGGTCATAAAAATATGATTATGTGTTTAATTTTTAAAGACCATCTTGTAACAGTATAGGCCTGGTTCATATGCATTTCTTTTTTTTTTTTTTTTTTTAAGATTTTATTTATTTATTTGAGAGAGAGGCAGTGAGAGAGAGCATGAGCGAGGAGAAGGTCAGAAGCAGAAGCAGACTCCCCATGGAGCTGGGAGCCCGATGCGGGACTCGATCCTGGGACTCCGGGATCATGACCTGAGCCGAAAGCAGTCGTCCAACCAACTGAGCCACCCAGGCGTCCCTCATATGCATTTCTAATAATGTTTTTACAACCTCATTTATTTTTACGGTTTGCTTACCTTTTAAAAAAATATTTCTAAGCCAGTAATTTTTATATTTATTTGAAAAGTTACATGAGTTTTTGATTGAGCTCACGAACTTTCTTTCAAACAAAAAGCCACCCTCCCTCCCATCTGAGGTGTTTTTTAAAAATGTAGACAGAATAGGGAAGGCCTGGGGCGTTTGGGTTGTCTCAGTTGTTAGGCGTCTGCCTTCGGCTCAGGTCATGATCCCAGGGTGCTGAGATCGAGCCCCACATCAGGCTCCTTGCTCAGCAGGGAGCCTGCTTCTCACTGTCTCACTCCTCCAGCTTGTGTTTCCTCTCTCGCTATGTCTCTCTCTGTCAAATAAATTTCAAAAACCTTAAAAAAAAAATAGGGAAGGCCTAAATACTCTCAACTTCATGTGAGCCTAGCTTTTTACTTGGGTGGTGTTTGTGTACATTGAACTTAATGTTCTTATTGATTTTACAGTGAGGAGGAGATTTCCAGTGAAGATGAAGATCTATTAGAAGAGAAGAAGAAGCAGAGAAGGGCCCCACCAAAGAGGAAGCTGGAAATGGAGGACTATCCCAGCTTTATGGCAAAGCGTTTTGCTGACTTTACAGTCTACAGGAACCGCACACTTCAGAAGTGGCATGATAAAACCAAGCTGGCTTCTGGAAAACTGGGGAAGGCAAGTATGTGGTGTTTGTGTGTGTGTGTGTGTGTGTGTGTACATGTGTGTAACAGAGTTTGTGTCAACCTGAAGCAGTTTAAAGACATTGGAACTACAGCTCATTGATACAGATAATGTCATGATGTAATAGTAATCAGTCATTTCTACAGAAAAATTTACTGAACTCCTGCCATTCAGTCCTGGGATTTTAATTTTATTAGAAGGCATATTTTGGTGACACCTGGGTGATTCCGTTGCTTAAGCCTCCAACTCTTGATTTCAGCTCAGGTCATGATATCAGGGTAGTGAGATCTAGCCCTGTGTCAGACTCTGTACTCAGCATTGAGTCTGTTTGGGATTCTCTCTCTCCCTCTGCCCCCTCCCCCTGCTTGACTGCTCTCTCTCTCAAATAAATAAAGTCTTTTTTTTTTTTTTTTTTTTAAAGAATATTTTGTTCTAGAAAATGACCTTGTAAGTGTTCAGATGTTTGGGAATACAAAATACTCAAAGAAGTGGATTTTTCAACAGTTACAGAAGGTGTGAAAGTTAATCTCTGGGTATAGGAACGCCTTAGACTAAATTTTTTTTTTCCCTGAGAACAATTACAGCCATTCACAAAGTCAGTCTGTAACACAAAGTCCCTCTGAAAGGAGGATTGTCTATTTCTTTGCTGACACAGAAAGATAGAGAAACCAATGTAGCTGCCTTCAGCACAGACTTTCTGCATTATCTGACACTGGTTAATGTTGTTGCAGGGTTTTGGTGCCTTTGAACGCTCAATCTTGACTCAGATCGATCATATTCTGATGGACAAAGAAAGATTACTTCGAAGGACACAGACCAAGCGCTCCATCTACCGAGTTCTTGGCAAACCTGAACCGGCAACGCAGCTTCTCCCGGAGAGTTTGCCAGGACAACCGGTAAGAGCTCTGGGATGCTGGGTGATTACAGGGAGCAGTTTCTGTGAGGCTAATTAGCTGAAAAATCTGATCACCTGCTTGTAGGTATTACCCTTGGTATAAGAAGTTCATGAAAGGGAAAAAAGCACAAACTTTACTAGATTGTAAATTGACTAGAAACTGAGAGTTTGTGCAAGGAGAAAGTTCTTTTAAAATGGAGCTATTATTAACTTGTGTGTAGTCTTCTTTTATTTTTGAGTTTGACATGAGCCTGGTAATGGAACCATTCGTAATCGAATTTTTAAAAATTCAGTTTTAGAGCTGCTTCTCTAGCAGTATCAGTATGGAAGGAAGTGTGCATTTTATGTCAGACGTTTAGATACTATAGAAAAGGATCCATATCTGGAGCACATTCTTTTGTTTAAAGAAACTTTTATTTATAGAAGTATATACTTAATAATTTTTTTCAAAGTTCAGAAGAATTTAAAATGAAAAGTAAAATTCTGCTTCTCCGATTACACCAGTGTTCATTTGTAACTGTAACAAGACATTTTCTATTCATATAACTATATATAGATATAACACATATGCATATATAGAAACATGGTTCTGTTTTTTTTCTAACTGGGATGATTTATGTGTTTATATAAAGTATTCATACACTATATAAAATCTTACTATTTTTTAAATTTAATTTTTCCTGGGCACTTTTCTAAATCATTACATAGGGATTTTTTATCTCATTTTTCCCAGTACTAGGCTATGGGGTATTCCATTGTAGGTGTGTACTATAATTCATTGAAACAGTGGCTGTTTATGTTGTCTCCAGCTTAGAGACAGTGCTATAGGAAACATTCATGAGCATTTATAATACGTGTATTTGTGTGAACATACGGATAGATTTCTCAAAGTGGAAATGTCAAATCAAAGAGAATACACATATTAAATCCTGATAGATGTTACTGAGTGCCTCCAGAAAGGTTGCATTAATTTCCATTTCCAGGGACACCTGGGTAGCTCAGTTGGTTAAGTGGCTGCCTTCGGCTCAGATCATGATCCCGGCGTCCTGGGATCGAGTCCCACATCGGGCTCCTTGCTCGGCGGAGAGCCTGCTTCTCCCTCTGCCTCTGCTGCCGCTCTGCCTGCCTGCGCTCTCTCTCTCTCTCTCTCTCTGGCAAATAAATAAATAAAATCTTTAAAAAAAAAAAAGTAATAATAATTTCCATTTCCACCAGTTCTGTTTTCTGGTACTGAATGTTGCCAGGTTTAGAGCTGAAAAATGGAGTGTTCTCATATTAATATTCATGTATTTAATTAGAATGAGGTTAAACATATTTTTATGTGATTATTGACAGTTTTTTGTTATTTTCATGTCGAGTGCATAATTAATGTTTTGTCCATTTTTTTTATTGGAATATTTTTGTTCTTTAGTTGTAAGAGCTCTTTGTATCTTAAGAAAGCTGCTTTCCTGTTATATACTGTTATACACATTATTTGTGGTGGCTAAATTACTTTGATTACCCTTTGGATTCACTCCTTCTAGGAGGTCCTTCCTCAAGCCCCTGCCAATGCCCACCTGAAGGACTTGGATGGTGAAATCTTTGATGACGATGACTTTTACCACCAGGTATGATTTTTACAGTTTTCTTTTATTACAGATCAGGTTTTAGCATTTCAAAACAGCTCATAGAATTCTCTGACCAAAAGGTGGCTTACTTTGGAAGGAGGATAGAGTCAGAGAGTTAGAACTGCTATCTTTAAGATTGACTTACTGTGTAATTCTGAGTCTGTTTTTGGTTTCTCTTTTTTAAGAGTTTATTTTTTTAAAGTAATCTCTACACCCTGTGTGGGACTGGAATTCACAACCTAGAGTCTTATGCTCTACCAACTCAGCCAGCCAGCTGCCCCTGTTGTGCTCCTATGTTGTATTTTTCCTTTTGAAATGAAAAACAACTGCAACTACTTTGTTAGTCACTGCAGAGTGTGAAGTATCTGTAAAAAAGCTGCAACTTCCTTGAGTCCGGAGGTTTATTTTTTCTCAACCATTTTTGCTAATATTTATAGAGGATTTTTTGTTAGTTGTTTGGTTTCTTGTCCTGTTGCTATTAGATTGGGATATGGAGCTTAAAGGGTTGGGCTCCCAGAGTCCTTGAACTGCATTTCTGGTTCTATTGCTTATTAAGTGTTTTGCCTTTGGGGCGTGTGTGTGTGTGCGCGCGCGTGCATGCATGCGTGCGTGTCTGTTCACATCAGTTAAGTATGTATTGAGATTGTCTGCTACTATGGATTATAACAATAATGTAATGTTTTGAAGACAGAATTGGTAGAGGTTGAAATATGGCCCAGTTTTGATATCTCTTTCCGAATGTCCCCCAGGTCTTTCCCTGACATTCTCTGCTGGCATGCTGCCCTTTTTGTTTGTTTGTTTGTTTGTTTGTTTTAAAATTTTATTTATTTACTTGACAAAGATCACAAGTAGGCAGAGAGAGGGGGAAGCAGGCTCGCCGCTGAGCAGTGAGCCGGATACGGGACTCGATCCCAGGACCCTGAGATCATGACCTGAGCCCAAGGCAGAGGCTTAACCCACTGAGCCACCCAGGTGCCCACATGCTGCTCTTTTTAATGATGCTAGTGACTGTAAAGGTAGACTAAACATTTGTGCTGTTCTAAAGAACTAAAATAATTTCCTGTAATCCTGGGTCTCCTGAAAAGCCATACTTAATGAAGTGTGCTTTGGGATATACCTTTTCTAGCTTTGGAGAATCAAGGATGCTATTCAGCAGTGACACACCAGCTTTTGTTGAGCCATTATTTATCAAGATATTCTTTTTTTCTCAGCTGAATTTTTAGTGTGTTGACTTTCGCCAAAGAATTTGCAACTGCTTGTTGAAGGTTTAGCCATGATGACTGTATTATGTATTTGGTATATGAAGGAAAGAATATGGGAAAATTACACTGTGAGGCCAATAGAACAGGTGATTGTGTACAGGGGATAGCTTTGAGTCTTTGCCCTAAGAAGAGAAATAATCTTTCTATTCATTCTGGAATGTTCAATGAAATTATTGCCGTAAGTGAGCCTTAAAAGTAATGATGAGAGGGTATAGGAAGGAGGATTGGTGTGTCCTCAGGTGGTCCTAGTCAGAGGTCCTGATTCTTTTTTCTATTTCTTCTCTATTATATCCATTTGTCAGAAGAGTACGGAACTCTATTTTGTTCTAGGGTGTCTAAGGAAGTACCTGATATGGGATATTAATGCTATGTAATTGTGTGAGATCATGGGAGACAATCAGAAATGCTCCAGTCTTCATTAATTGAAGTGTACATTGTTCGATGGAAAGTGCATCATAAATTAAATAGGCTTTATAAAATTAAACTGAAATTACTGAGGAGAAGTTGCTTCCACTGGCAATCCTTAGTCTGAAAGATTTTTTATTTTTTTTATCTTTTTTTTTTTTTTGCCTGGAGGTCTGTTTAAAAAGAAATAGCATTACTTGATTGGCCCTTCATCCCAATTAATAATTTTACCTTCGATAAATTTTGATTTCAGAGTTATGACTAGTCACATCTTAGCTTTTCCCCTTGCTGGTTAATTGGGGTGCTGGGGTTAATCTAAATTAAAACTTAAACTAATAGAGGTCAGCAAGGCAGCTGAAACACCTGAGTGAAACAAATGGGGCTGCCAGGCGCAACTTTATCTTGGCTGTTTCCCAAGAGGGAAGTGGCAGCAAATTGGAGTTGTTTCAGCCTTCTGTAAAGGTGAATGATGGGTGACACTTGTTAATGTACAGCCACTCCGGAAGCATTCCAGATTGCTTTGCTGCTGTACCAACTGCCGCCATCCATGCACAGTCAGTAGGAACTGGACCAGTTGCCAACATCTGGCAGCACAGCAAGGAATGGGTGCAAGTCTTGAAACCCCGCAGATTCTAAATATGGTGCTTAGAACTGTGCAGGCTTTAATCACTTACCACTCTTTGGCAGCGGGCTACGACAGCTTATCCTAGCCTCGTACATCACATCCCGACATCTGCTGAGCCTTGAGGCAGCTGCACATTCATTTTCTTTTCTTGCCTTTTCTCTTTGCCTCCTATTCCTCCTCTTCTCCCCACTCCCTCCCTCCTCCCCACACCACCTCCCCACTCCCCACCCAGCCGCTTCCCTTCAGTTTTCCTCTCCCTCCCCAATATACTTCTTGGGAGAGATGATCTGTAAAGATTACTGCTTCATTGTGTGCAAGTAATTGTGGTGATGCCAGGCCCTTGACAGACACAGCGCAGCACCTGTTCTGCTGACCTGGTTAATTTCTTCTGTTGAGTGGGATTTGCCCGAGATTGGAGCTGAAGCCAATTCAATGATAAGGCTAAAGAAAATGGCTGTATGTTTTCTGTCACCTCCCAATTAAATTGGCTTCATAAAGTGCTTTCCTTTATTTGTCAGGGTAGTAAGCCTGAGCTAAGTGTTGCATTCAGAAGTGGTACAATGTATTACAATGGGCCTGTGAGTTTTCATTTGTGTTTTTTTTATGTGGTCATATGGAAGAGCTGGGTGGTGAATATAATACACTTCGCCATTTTTTTTTTTTTAAACCATACTTGAAGCCAGACTCTTTGGTTCCATGTTTTGTAAGGAAGAGATTATAGCCACATTGAATTTTAATGTTTCATTGTAAGGGTTTAAAGGCTTACTTGGTTAATTCAGGCTGTGTAAATGCCCTAACTACTGAGAATGATATTCAGGGTCACAATACCCAACATACACACGCATTCTCCGCCCCCCCCCACCCTTTGTTTCATAATGGGCCTTAAATCACTATAACTTTGAAAGTATATCAGTATTATTTAATAAAGGTACATATGTATAGGTATGTTCATGTGTGTATATATATACATAGACAGAGAGAGGTATCAGATATCATAAGTAATCATAATTTTTTGAGCTGAAAAGAACTTTACAAGAAACTGCATCCCTGAGAAGTTAAGTAACTTCCTGGAAGCCATATACTAGATGGCAACACGAGTACTTGATCTCAAGACTTTTTAGACCAAGTCCTGTTCTTTCTGTACCTTTATTTCTTCAATATTTCATTCTTGAGCCATCAAAAGACTTCACTATGGTATTACATATTTCAGTTTGTAAATAAGCTTCATTTTCTTAGAACCGGGAGAAATATTATTTGTGTTAGTCATTTTTTTTTCTTGAAAGGCAGATGATTTATTGAACTCCTATTACTTAACAATTCTAATGAAAAAAATTAGCTTATTAGTTGTGCTGCTGGTTTGTTTGGAAACTGGAATTGCTGAAAGCTTGAAGTATACCCAGTGGGAAGATTTTATGAGAGAAACTGTTCACCTGCTGTAGGCATTTCTGAGTTTCCCTCTCAAGTGGAATTAGTTTGCATTGGCCTATTTCTTGTCAAAGCTCATCCCTAAAGACAATTTCACAAAACAGGAGGGTTGTAAATGACCACAAAGGATGAGCCATTGAGAAACGTTTTCAGTATCTGTTTTTCATTTTCATTATCCTGTTTGCTGAGTTCTATGAGCTGTGTTATCTGTATGACTGTGTAAGGTTTTTCTTTTGTTTTGACTTGATTTTTTAAACCATCAGTTGATCTTTGACTTGAAAAGCCTGCATTCTTAAAGATTTGAGGAAGGACTAACATTTACTGAACACTAGTTATGTGCTACTCCTTGGCTTAGTAGCTCAGTGCTTGACATACATCTTTATTTAATCCCTACAAGATCTCCAGGTTGAGATACGACTGCACTTAGCAATGAGCAATAGAAAGTGACTGCTTTTATTCTTTTCATATCACAGACCTTGGACTAGTTTCTTGTCGGTTCATGAGGTATTTTGTTCTGAAAGGACTAATTGAGCTTAGATATTGACAAATCGATACCTGGATTTCTAAGGGTTCATTAGGATTTTGTATGTTGCATCTAGCTCTGTTTAGTTTTGATCTGGTTTGTCCTGTCACTTTGAATTTAACCAGGAGTGTCTAGAGAAAGGGATAATAGGTTTTGCTCTTTAGATGACCACTTTGATGGGTAAAATTTCTCCTTTCACATGCCATCAGGGCATGGCTATAACTGACCTTGCCACCATGCTGGACTTAGACATTTGATAATGCCACAAACAAGTAATTACTAATTCGGTGAACTATTAAAAGTCGATAATGTTAAGAAATAAGGAAGAGGCAAGCTTTCTGACAAGGTAGTTTACTAATTAAATTGGTGAGTGATTAATATGGACAGTTGATGTGGTGGCTTTAATTGCATACATTTAGATCTCAGTGTGAATAAGATGTTTCAAGCCATTCCTGTGGTTAATGCCAATACAGTATCCTTACTGTTGGCATATATCTTTCCAGTGGTTCAGTTGTTGGTTAATAATATATTTTAAAGTTTGATTTGAACCTGTTCCTTTTAATTAGTTGTCAAAAAACAGATACCTTCTGGTTCAGAGCAGTATTTCATTTTTATTTTGTTACTGTTACTTGAGATGTGGGTTGTGTTTCTTAAAAATTTGATAAAACTTACTACATGTAGCCCTGTATGATGATTTTAGAGAGGATATAGATATGAAGTACATAAACTTGAAGATTGAAATTATGGCAGAAATGCAGCA